CCAAATCAAAAAGTTTTTGTTTCCCAAATCAAAAAGCTTTAAAATTAAAAATCTCGTTTTGTAACAAAAAGATATTCAAGACTTTGACATTTTAATTGAAAATAGCAAATAATTTAAGGTAGAAAAAACACTGTACTAAGAAGTCGTTTTTGAAAACAAGAGTAAATCATTCAAAAATAATATTCAAAACCTTTGAGAAATTAAAACAAACTTGCGTGCATAATACGTAATTTGGCGTATGATGTATTGGCAATTTAGAATGTCATATGAATCAGCGTAATAAATGTATCATCAGTGTTACATCAGAAGATTCATAAACAAATTTTGAAGGCATACAAAGAACAGGAGAAAAGTCTATGGTGAAAATGGAAGTAAATAAAATACTGCATAGCAAAACGAAAGCTATTGACGTGAGTGAATCATTTTCCACGTATAATCCAACTTCACATGGAACAAACACGTACTCACTTGATCAATCACGTAATACTGCACAAGGAAAAGCCATTGTAAATATGTCAAGAGTAATATGCAACCAAACAGTATTATGCTTGTTTTTTCCCATTTGCCATAATGGCACATGCAAATGTCCACTTAACAACCGTACCTCTGGCCCAGATTGCAAATTTTCACTTGATGGTATGTTTTAAATACAGTACTATTTATTAAATATACAGCATTTTTTTTCCGTTACGTTTTAAATAATTTTTTTTCAACTTCTTTTGAAGTATGTACTGTACGTACTAAAAAGTTATGTGCTAAATAAATATTTTTCCACACATATTTATAATAATAATAAAACTTTTATTGTAAAAATAGAAACAAATTTATTTAAATTTCATCAAAATTTTTTATTTTGAAAAAAAATAATATTCCAAATCTATTTTATTAAAATCTTTCAACTGCTGGCTTACCAGTTTCAGTTAATCGTTTGCATCAACTCAGAAATTCACTGTTGAATGGATATTCAGAATCGATCTCTGAAGAACCTTTGATGACTGATGAAGGAAAGGATGATGCATCAGTTGATTCTTTAACAGCACTACCAAATACAACATTATCATTATTGCAACTTCTAAGTAAAGATAAAACAAAATCTTGGATTGGTCAAAACATATGGCAAACAGTACAGTCAAAACTGCAAACAAAACCAATAACAACTATTTTTTCAAATTGTATATTTTCAAATTACGATAATATTTTAATTAAGTTGGATTGATAATAATATATTGATTTTGATAACAGAGTAAAAGTAAGTAATAATTATTTATATATATTAAGTAATAGTGTTAAAATAATAAAAAGTATCATTTAATCAAAAACTATTCACCATTATTTTTTATAATCATAAAATTTGCTTTGAAAGTACTCAAAATTTTTATTTTAGCATCAGTGCTTGGTGCCTACTGTGAAGATCAAACAGTTTCATGTAGGAGTAATTTAATCTGTGTAAAAAATCAGTGTATTTGTCCTTCAGAACACGTAGTAATCAATGATACATGTGTATCAAATAGTTATGGTAATTTTATACGTTTAAATTTCTAACAAAAATAAAATTTTGGTCTAACAATAAAATTTTTAAAAAATTCATGAAGATAAAACTAAAACTGAAATCAGATGCCAAGTTGTAATTTTATTTGCAAAATAAATTCATAAAATTGGCCATTTTTTTAATGTTTATCTGTTTTCTATTGTTTATTTATCCATTAATTAATTAATTATTTGTTTATTTATTTATGGCTTTTGCAGTTCAGGAGTGTTCCCAGTCAAAGCAATGCCCATCAGGCGCATATTGTATTGATGGTTTTTGTTCCTGCTTACCAGGGACCGCTATATCTCGGTATGGCTTTTGCATACCAATCAATACTGGTTCGTTACTCATTTTTACTTCACTTTACTACCTAGCAAACATTAAAATAGCAAAAAATTTTAATAATTTGTAAGAACTGACATCGAGTTCAGTTTTTGTTTTGTCCCAAAAACAAAAAATAAATTATATACATTGGTGCTTAAAATAATCTTTTATCTTCTATTCAAAACAGTTCTAAGTAAATTAATGAAGCTTATTTTAGAGTCCAGTCCAGGAATGTCATGTATTAAAGGCGAAATTTGCACAGGATTTTCGGAATGTGTCAATGGAATATGCAGTTGTCCACCTGAACGAAATTATATTGCTGGTGACGAATGTGTAGAAAATATTCATGGTAAAATAGTCCTTTATTTTCCTTTGAATAATAAATTATCATGTATTTGTTTTATTTTGAAATAAAAACAAAGTTAAAAATAGATCACAAAATTTTCTTCTCAAAAAAAGAAAACTTTTCAAAATCAGCTTAATTAGTAAGGAATTAGCAATCTTTAATTGCTTAAATTTGTTGTAATTAAAACAAAAAATTCAAATGAATTATAAACAACTCAGCCAATTGTGTTGTATTCGAAGAATACTGTATGCTCACGGAAACTGTGATTATTGTAAGTATCGTCATACAAAGTAATTTATTTAAAATAATGCATGCCTTGCGTGTTCATATGTATTTGTTTGCATGCTTCTTTACAATTCTGTACAATAGAGCACAATTTCTGCGACTACTTTACATTTCGTGATCATTAATAATTAGTTTTTAGGATTTAATTTGTCATAATTCTACTGTTTGTTATGGTTTTCATTCTTGTCAGAAATGATAATTAGCTTAATATGAATAATTTTTAATAGTTGATATTAGTGATTTTTATTAGATAGTTAACCTTTCCTTCTAAATGAAATAAAGCTTAATTTAGTTTATATCATCAAGAAATCTCCGAGCAATTTAAGTTGAAAACCGATATCAATTCTGGTTTATTTAAGAAAGAAAACAGACATAATCATGCAATTTAATAACTAATTTTAGCTATTATTGTAGAATTAAAAAAAATTTTTACATGGTTTTTAGCTACTCTGTGATGACAATTTTGGATAAGTAAATACAGTAAAAGCGCAGATTAAGATTTTTGTATGAAATATTAGTTTGAAGCAGAAATTCGCAGCAAACGGCTCACTCAACAAAAACTGATTCCTCTTGGTGGTTATTGTACTTTACAACAAGATTTTTGTACTGGTGGAGGAATTTGCATTGAGGGAAAATGCCGTTGTCCTACTGGGAGTTCTCAGAGAGGCGAGAATTGTCTTGGATATGCGCAGAGTCAGTTTATTTCCACAATTTTGCGTAGAAAATGTTTTTTCTTAAGAAAAACTTGGCTAATATGATAATATCAAAAGTTGTAATAGGTTTGAAATGTTCGAATTTCTCTAAATATTCTTTATGGACAGATACCTAATTTCTCCGTTTAAAGATATTTGTTTGTTATGACGGATGAGTGATAATATTCATACAAGTGATCCACTTTACGCGATCGATTAAAATGAATCATACGTGATCCATTAAGATTAATCATTTGTGCAGTAGATTTGCATGTGGTCAACTGAATGTAACTGTGCTTTGAGGTGGTTCGGGAGTGAAAGCGGAAAATTTTTGAGAACTTGTTAACTCAAAAACAGGAACCAATTAGTGTCTCAAATAAATTTAAAAGTGTCAAATTGTTATAAGCGCCGGGAAATCCCAGCACTTAACATATGCAGTGCTTTGGTAATTCGATATCTTTCAATGGTTACTGTACATGTTTAAATGAAAAGAAAATTGTGGATTGTATTTGTACTAAATAAATTCCAAAAATATTATTCACTATTAATATTGTAAAAGTTTAACACTTTAATTTCAAACACCAAAAAAGTTACCACCAAAAACCTTAATATTTTTTATTATATTTTGTAATTTAGGAGGAGCACCTGGCGATGCTTGTAAAATAGGTTATACAGAATGTACAGGTGGTTCGATTTGTATAAATAATCGTTGTGAATGCTTTCCAAACAAGGTTACTTTCTGTTTCAAATTTTACTTCAAAAACCGTTGTTTTTGAAATTTTGTTTTAAAAAACTAGGTTTTAATCAAGTATTCAAACAAGGTAAGTAATCAAGTATTCAAACTGATGAGTTAAAGAATTTTAAAGTCAGCACTTACATCATTTTATTGTTGGCATAATATTTCCCTGATAGCATTAAGATAAAATCCTAAAAAAGTTAAACTTCGAATTCTTCAAAGGTAAAATAGCATATTTCAAATCATACTTATTTTTGATCAAAAAAACTTTTTTGCATTAATTTTTCAAATAATAGCTTAATTAAAATATATGAATATAATAAAGTTGTATATAATTACTTACTTCATTGTCTCCTTGTATAATGTGGAGTTCCTCAATTATTTATTTGTGTTTGAAATAAATGATTGTACAAATTATATTTTTATTGCACACATTAGACTATTAATTTTTCATTATAAAATCTAAAATAAAAATTGATAGTTTAATTTGAATATGCTATTTACCTTCAAAGATTTCAAAATCTAACTTTTAAGTTTAATAGTTTTTTTTATTTTTAGTTATACTTAATATAATTTAAAATTGTATGAATTATTGCTATTTTAAATATTTTAGCTCATTTTCGAACTGTCTACCTGTTTAATTTGTTTAATTATTTATTTAGGAAATTATTTATTTTTCTGATTTTTCAATTTAGATATCCATAGATGGACAATGTACAGTAACACCTCATCATTACCAAGCAGTGTTTATGAATAAAATATGCAACAATAATTCGATATGCACAGATGGATCAATTTGTGTTCAAGGAATTTGCATATGCCCAAATGGAATGTATATTTCGATGGGGAAATTAGTCTGTAAACCGATTTCAGTGATCGCTGCTAATCCTATTAATCAATGCTAGTTTATACTCAATTTTCGATTTATATTTTTGATTAAAATATTAGTATATATTACAGTTGCAAGATATATATATATTCTTTCGATCGTTCCCTGATTTATGACGAATGCCTTAATTATTATTATTAACTTATATTGGTAATAAATCTAATTTTTACTAATCTATGATCAGTCTATCAGCATATCTTTACTAATCAATTTTATTACTAACACTAAACTTGAAAATAAGCAGTGAATTATGGTAATCACAAGAGTTTATAATAATTAGATTTCAAATTTATTACCATTTTTTGAATAGCATCATAATAATCTTGTTGAATTTCTTAAACTCAAATTTTAACTTATTATAACTATTATACTCTGATTCATTGAAAAAGTGCTCATTTTCAATTTATAATACAGTAAAACTCACGTAAAAATTTTACAGTATCAAATTTGTCTGCTAGATATTGTCACGCAAATGATCCATCTACGTGTCCCCGTGGAGCAATTTGTGTTAATGACTTATGCTTTTGTGCAAAAGGTTACGCCGTTTCTGGCAATGATTGTGTTCCTGTCATTAAGCAAAGTAAGTATATTGCTTAGTTATTGAAAAATCTAACTGTACAATTTAAATATGCAAGCAGCACAAACTATTCATATCTTTGTCACTTCAATTTTATTGATCAGTTACTTAACTTTCATTTATTTGTAATTAAAATATTTACGTTAGAAGATGAAAATTAAGCTTTGATCTCTGATATTGTGATTTAAAATATTAATTATTCATAATTTGAACTATTTTAAATAGTAGGCGGGTAAAATTAGTTAAATTTACAAATGATTTAAAAGTTATTGTTGTAGGGGAACAAAAAGCTCCTGGAGAACGATGTGGCTACGGTAGAAGTAAATCAGTTTGTAGTAATGGTGCAAAGTGTATCAACAAAGTTTGTGTTTGTCCAGCAGATAAAGTCATTTCTGGTGATAGATGTGTTGCATTTAGAGGATACGGTTTGTTCATTAACTGCTAACTTGAATATTTTCACGTGACGTGATTTCTGTCAGAGATCATTTAAATTACAAAATTAAAAATATAATTTTGAGTGTAGCTACTTTTTATTTTATTTTTTTGCGTAACTTTTTTTTTCAAATTTTAAAAAATACAAATTTTGAACTGATTACATCATTAAACAATTATTTAGTACGACAGTGATTTTTAGCAGCACCAAGTGAGTCTTGTGCTGTGGAAGGTGTTATATGCAATGGTGGATCAAACTGTGTCTTAGGTATATGCCAATGTCCCCTCGGTACTTTAGCTAATAACAGGCAGTGCATAATTTCCAGTAATTTACTCCCAATTACTCCAATTTGTAAGTTTAATTTTAGTTATTTATAAAATGAACTATAAGATCTTAGTTCAAGGGTTTTAGCGCATTTTATGCAAATTTTTAATCTCATTTCTGATTTAATTAATTTTCATTTTTAACTTAGAAAATCGTAAATGATTAGTGTTTTTGTTGAATTTCAAATATAATTTTTAAACAATATAATTACAGTAGAACCTGGCTCAAGATGTATTCCATTCTGCAACATTTGTGCCCGGTGCGGTGGTGGTTCGGTATGTCTCAAAGGTGAATGTACCTGCCCTCTTGGACAGTTTCCTTTTCAATCCCGTTGTCATCCAACAAAAGTATACAAAAATTTACTTATCGTATTTTCTTGGTAGAATAATATTACTGCAAAATCAATACGATTGCAGATAAAATGTTTTATCAATATTATAGCAATCAATAAAGGAAGAAAAATCAACAATGAACTTATTTCAACCACAAACATCAATGATAATTGGTAAAATTATAAAAATTAATTCTGTGTACTGTATTTATTTACTGTATTTTGTGTACTATACTTACTGTGTCTGCATCCATATACTTCAATAATTAGTATAGTGTAATCAAATTATACTGCATACCTAATTTTATGTGAAGTACTAGTCTACTAGCATTAAATTATGAATAATTTCCAAAAAACACTGCATGTATTTCATGCAGTCAAACCAAGCATATTGAATCTAAATTATTTGTCAAATATTTTAAAGATAAATAAATTTAAACATGAAAATTTTTGCAGTCCAACCAGGAGATCACTGTAATTGGACTGCTGTTTGTGGTGCTGGTTCATCCTGTATAATTGGTAGATGTGTTTGTCCACCTGGTTATGTTCCCAAGTTTGATTTTTTCAAAATTTTACTTCACTTAAATTTTGTTTCTTTTAAAATTTAATTAATTAATAACATTAGAACGATATTTGGTCATCATGATGAAGTAATTACCTTAAGAAAATCCGTAATTTTGACTTATATGAGTCATTTACAGTAGTCTTATTATTAATGAGATAATTAATTAATTAATTTTTGGTCATACTAAGAGACTCATACAAAATCAAAGCGCTTTGATTATACAAAATTTATTTCTGTAGCAATTTTCAGTAAAGGAAGGAACAGTTGTGTAAGCGTGTTACTGAATCCACAAGCAGTTTCTCTTGAAAGTTATCCAGGAGAGAGTTGTACAGCATTTACTACATGCATTGGAGGTTCAGTATGTCAAGCTGGCTTATGTACATGCCCTATGAATACCGTAATAGTCGACAAAATTTGCACTGATTACAGTAAAAGGCAGCAATGTTTGTTTCTTTCCACTTTACTGAAATTAAAATATATTAAAAATTTAGAAAATAAATCGAAATTTATTAAATACTATTATTTACTACATAAAGTATTTGGGTTGAGGAGGAAGAAAACTTTGATTTCCTTAAACATTCAATAGTAAAACAAAATCACTCTCAGTTGAGTATTTTGATTGAAGAATTTTCACGTAAAAAGTCAAACTATGATTGAAAATTGATTGAATTGCAGTATTCGCGGGAACGGCATGTACTGTAAATGATTTTTGTTTGAAAGGTTCTATCTGTTACAAAGGATACTGTGTGTGTTTAAATATGACTGTATCAAACGTTACTGGAGAATGTATACAAGCAGAAATTAGTCCAAAATTAAATGGTATGTTGTAGACTTTTTTCTTCAAATGAAATTTTCTTGTAAATATTTTTAAAAGCAAAAAAATAATTCTTCACTTAAAAGTTTTCGAAAAGATTTTCAATTATTTTAATATGACTTTTGCCTGTAAATAATAGCATTGAAGAAATGCCCAGTATTGACATTACTTTGATATTGTCTGAATAATTGCACTGAATCATAATTCTTAATATTCATTAAGTTCACAAAATAATAATATTGATTTAGAAATTTTTTATACTATTAGTATTCTATATTTTGTTATGGTCACATTATAGTTAGTAAAGTCTTGTGGTTATTTTCATAACTTTTGAGGATTATTTTATATAATTTAAGAATAAGAATAAGAATTACTCACAATTTTATATAATTTAAGAATGAGAATAAGAATTACTTGTTCTGAATGTCAATTTTAGTCCTGGCAGGATCTCGTTGTAATGCACAAGAAAAGTGTGTGCCTTCATTAGTTTGTACTTCATGGGGATATTGCGTATGTCCACAGGATTCTAAGGCTAACGCTATTGGCATGTGTTCTCGTACAAAAACTTCGAACTTCATCGACAAAAATATTCATCAGTTAAAAGTAATTATACAAAAGCATTAATTTTAAGCAACTTTTAATTCTCCATTTATTTTGCTTCCTGCAAATAATAAACTGATTTTGCTACATTTCACTCGATACTTTCTGTAATCTTAATTCAAACGCTCTTCATGAAGTACTATCAGATTCAGAATTGATGAACTGATGAGTTTTGAATTTGTAAATTGCTAAGATTCTGTACAAATCTTCAAGTGTTAGCATTTGCATCGAAAAATTTTGTAGTTGGTTTCATGGAATTGTCATTAAAACGATAGAATTAATATTGAAAAAGGTTACTTATTTAGTAAAATGAGTTTTAAATTTGACTATTTCAGATTTTTTCTTCATTAATTCATTACAGTAAATTCATTTACAGTACAAACAGAAGTAAAGTGTACAACTACATCGGATTGTAAGTCAGGCTTTAATTGCGCGGAAAATAATTGTATACATCGAGCGATTAATGGATAAGTTACTACAAAATCAAAATATTTATTATATTATTTTTATTAAATATGAAATTGTTTATATTTATTAAAATAAAAACTTTTATTTTTATGAACTCAAAAAGAATTTTATTTATTGTATTGCATTATATTATAATTGAGAAGCTTTCTTCTTCTATATTTTAAAAGTTGGAATAAATTTAGTGTCAAAAAAATTATTCTTGAAAAGTCTGTGTGAATTTGGATATACAAATTTCAGTTCTATCTGGTTCGTGGTATGATGTGAATTTGGGAAGCATTTTCAGTGGTAGTTCATAATGTTTCATGAATGTATGCATATATCTGTTTGGTTACATAAATGAAACACTAAAATGCATATTTGCATGAGATGATTTGCATGATTTGAATGATTAGGTTCTAACTTACCTTGTAAACTATAAAAAAGCAGCGCAGTGATCTACGATGTATACCAATAAATCACTTTATTAATTCAATTGTTGTCTGCATTTATAATTTGCATATGTGCAGTAATACAACTTACTATGACATGTGCGAAAAAGTATTACCACTAGCTACTAGCACAAAATATTTGGCTTGAATTTTCAAACTTTCGGTAGTTGTATAAGTTAATTCCAAGCATGAAATCCATCACTCAGTTAATTCACAATCTTTGTACCATATGTTACGCGTGTTATTTTATAGCCATACGTGGCTAGATATTCTCGTCTCCTAATTGATTTCACGTAAATGCACGTGATGTAGAAGCATTGCTTTCAGCAACTTTGCATAATTTACAATTTTTTTATTTGCTCTTTTGCAGGTCTATCAGAATTTTTTTTGAGAAAAATTACAACTGCATCGAGAACGAATCTTCCTGAGCAAGCAGTGCAGAATTGTCCAACATCCAGTTCATGCTTGTTACCAGAATGCTTTTGCTCTCAGTAAGTGAATTATTAGTTTAGAGCGTAAAAAATTTTGACATATTTGATACTCATAAAAAACTTAATAACCATAAAAGCATAAAGTTAGTGGAGTATGATAGATAATTTTGTATTTTGTATTACTGTGGTATTTTACAGCCAAAGCGTCTTTAATCTCGACAGTATGCTTTTTACTAAAGAAGACCACGTAAAATTATATTGTAAACAACTGATACAAAATTGCTTTTATTAAAAGCTGACATCAGTTCTGTAAAAAACGCACACAACAGAGCAATATTTACTCTTATAAGTGTAAAATACAAACATATAAAAACAAATATTAATTGTAAGATAGATTTATTAATTTTGATTTAAATAACTTCAAAAAAAAAACGACTGAAATAATAATGGTTGAAGTTATTATAATAATATGTGATTATAATAAAATAATACTTATGATCAAATATTAATTATAAAACGAGTTATTGAAATTGATGAATTCTTGAGAAGGAAAATAAGTATCACAAATAATTCCTTTGACTCAGTTAATAAAATTTTGGCATTTAAAAATTCAATAACTCAGTTGTTGGATTTTTGAATGTCAAAGGATTATATCAAAAGTTTAAATGTCAAAGGTTTTTTTAATCAAAAATTTGCTATTTGCAAAATTCAGTTGGAAATTAATGTTGAGGAAAGTTAACTAAGAATTCAAGTGAAGGGGTCCAATTATTACAATTTCTATATTGGGACCATAAAAAGAATAATAACTTAATTCTAGCTGTATAACTTAAGATGAAAATGTTAAACTCTTAATTCAGTCCAATTTTGTTCTATTCTATAACAATTATTATATGGTATCTGAATATGTTTAGATCTGGTCTAGAAATTCCTAATGGACTTTTACCTTCTGAAGTACCTCAAATGATCCTTCTAACATTTGAAGGCCCAATAATTGATCAAACTTTTCTGTTATACAAATCTTTGTTCGGTGGAATATATCGGTAATGCTATTTCTTTTTCAATTTATTTTAATTAAAATAAAAATAATTCCACTTTAAAGTTTATCGTTAATTTTTATTATTTATTTTTATTCGCATTTTTCATTAAAAAAAAATAATTTCCAGCAATCCAAATGGTTGTCCAATCACGAGTACTTTTTTTATATCAAATAAATGGAATAATTATGATCATACCCAATGGTTGATGGATTTTGGCCATGAAATCGCTGTGAATTCAGTATCGTTAGTTTTATACATTTCGTTCTGTTCATTAAAAAATTTATTCTTATAAGGTAGATAGATGCTTAGCACAAGACAAAACATTAAAACTTTATAAAAAATCCAAAAAGGTCAAAAAAATAAAATAATTCACTTATTAATTTCGAATTATCTTGAAATAATTTTAAAAATTTTGAAACATGAGAAAAACAGTAAATTTCATGAAATTTATTTACATTGGATTAGAAAACTAAAATTTTCCAATAAAAAAGACCATACCATAAATTAAGCTCATTCAAAAATTATCTCAAATGTCATATTTAAATCAAATATTCATATACCAATTTTAATTGTCATTTAATGTACAGTAAAATCATAGTTAATTTTCCTTTGTAGTATTTTTGTAAATATATATTAAAGATATGAAAATTTGGATAACGCAACAGTTACACGTTGGGAGGAAGAAATAGTTGGAATGCGCAGTGCATTACAACATTTTAGTCATGCAAAAGCAAGCGATATTTTAGGTGTACGAGCACCTAAACTTAGGTTTGGAGGTAAAGTATTACAGATTATATTTTATAGCAAAAAATTTGTTACAAAACAAAATATGAAGAAAAAAGTTGCTAAAATAATCAAAAATTAACGAACAAATTGTTTATCAAGTTCAAGATTACTTCAGCTCCAAAAAAAGCCACCAAATGTAAAAACATAGAAATTCAAAAAAACAAAAGTTAAAAAAACATAAAAATTCAAAAAATGCTTCTTAGATCTTCAAGCTTTTAAGTGTGGTTATTACTTTGTTCTTGTTTTTTAAAAAGTTTTCACATGCTTTACGCAAACTGCTGAAGACTTCAATATTACGTGAGTAACTCTAACAACTCACACTCACTTTTAGAACTTTATTTTTGACCAGCTTTTTTGAATAAAGTTATATAATCTTTAATATCAGATGACTCATTTATTTGAATTCTATAATAGTTGTTCACCAGTATTCACTTATATTTTAATATTTTGCTTAGCTAGCTTTATTTATGTTTTAAATTAAAATTTACTATATACTTCAAATATTAATTTTAACAGTTTAAATTTTTACAGATGTTTACTTATATTTTGATATTTGCATTTTTTTTTTAATTTTCAGAAGTTTTTTTTAAGAAAATTTGAGTTTGAGCTAAATTAATATCGACCAGCTTAGTTTTATGTAAATTTTTTCTCACAAACTTGTAATCTATTTTCATTTCATTTTAATCTTTTAATCAAAGATAAAATAATACAGCATCTGATAGTTATTTATTTTCAGGTGATAATCAACTGGATGTAATGGAAAAGTTTGGTTTTGTGTATGATAATTCGATGATTACGAGTGGTGGACCATTTTGGCCACAAACTCTTGCTTATCGAACAGCTTGGGAATGTTTATCAAAATTTTGTCCAAATAAAGCACATCCAAAACTTTGGGAAATTCCAATTAATCCTTTGAAATTTCTGAATTCACAAAATGAATTCAATATGCTTACAGAAGCCATTACAGTATTTCTTATTTTTACTTTTATATTACAGCTTTTAAATAAATACAAACACTTCCATGCACAAATATGCGATTGAATTTGGATGATAACTGTCATATTTCATATTTGAACCAAACTAAACCTTGTTACAAATTGTAAAATACAAAATTAAAAAACTTCCATTGTGGATTTCAATTTTTTTTTAATTTGCTTAAAATTCCAAATACATTTCCGCAATAAATTTAACTTTATTTTATTAGAAAAATTTGGTGCAAAAAGAATAGAAATAGAAAAAATTGGATTTATCAATTAAATTTAATTTTATTAAGTAAAAAAGTTTTTAAATAATTACAAAGTTATTTTATAAGAATATTTCAGCGTAAGCATTCTTCTAGTGAAATAGCCACAATATTGGAATTCAACTTAAACCGATCTTACAATTATAACAGAGCTCCGTTTTTGCTTACTATTGATAATGATTTCTTCACGTTATTACCTGAAAAACGAGCTATTTCCGCTCTGAAATTATTCATCCATAACGTAAGTTCAATTTAGCTTTTGAATTCAAGTCTGAACCTTTTAATCCATAAATTGAATACGCCCTTCGATTTACTTTTTAGACTCTATCAAACGTCGAATAAGCATAAAAAATTGTCTCCTGAAAACAATTGAGCGTTTTGATGATACAATTTTTGTTCACACAAATCTTCTGCACGTATAGAATTTTAATAATAGAATTTTGCAGGCATTAAAGAAGTCCGACATTTATATGATAACAATAAAACAAGCATTACAATGGATTAAACAACCGACACGCTTAATGGATATTCATAACTTCGAGGCATGGCAGTGTAATCAGCTAGTCACAGGTGACCTTCGACCCTGTCAAGTTAGTTTCTTGAGCTCTTGATCAAATATAAATTGAAATAATTACTACATTATGAGGTAGCTCCGAAACTACATAAATCTTCAGATTTTAGTTAATTGTCAATAAATCGAATAACTGAAGTAAGAGAGCATTGTAAGTATAAATCATGTAAATTTTTAAGACAAACTTTCTCACTAATAATAAATTTATATTTAAGCCAAATTTTTTAATGAAAACGCAAACAAATGAAGAGACTTTCAAGTGTAACAATCAAAGTACAATTAAAATGTGTGATTATGAATAAGACTTCACGTTCTACTTGCAGAATTGTTCATATCCTTGTAATGGTGAAGTTCAGATTCTTCAAATTTGTGGTAGCTGTCCATAGATGTATCCGAAACATGGTTACGCAAATGGTTCCGGTCTTTCATAAGTATGGTAAATCTTTAAGTAAGTTTAAACCAAACCAAAAATGAAGTCATACTTGAGTGAAATCAAAAGTACTAATAATAATTTTATGTTGACCCCATGATATTAAAAGCAAATAGATCATAATTTACTACGTATCTACTCATTTGGTACCTTGAAATGCACTCCAAATTAGTGGGGTGAGAACAAAAGTGCTACACGATCAAATATTGTAAATCTCATTGTTTTTCTCGAAAGGTTTTCCTTATTTTTATAGTAAAATAAAACTGCAACTTCTGCGTATAAAATATATTCCACAAATAACATTTCACGAATATGTACTTCTTGCTATAAATATTTTAATAAGATTTATGGAGAGATTAAAAAATTGTGTATTTTGTTGTTGAACCAAGCATATCAAAAGTAATCAGTAAGATGTAATATATGATTATCTATATCGTATTTTACATTTTGATCAGAATTAATAACAATTGTGATTATCAATTATATTCCTAACAATATTAACGGATAACAAATAACAATGTATAGCATTACAAAATTACTTGCAAAAGTTTGCAACTAACCTTCATGACAGTTTTCAGAATAGAGCTAATTAAGCTGATTATTCAGAACACATTCTCAAGTTTACGCAGTATTATATAATTACATGAAAAAAGTATCCTATCATTAAATTATACGGACTAATATAGGTAAAACTGATCTATTTATTTCTACAATAAGTCTTACTTATGCTACTTAAGCTCAAAGTTATCAAATACTGAAAATACTTCAAAGTGATAAGATTTTGATTTCACTCCGTTTACAATGAATAAACACATTTCTTTCATTTTAGTTGCATAATTAGGATAATTCGTAACATCGTAGCTTGCAAAAGTAATTTGTAACATGACGCAAGAAAATAATGAAAGGACACTGACTTGTATAATTCATAATCACCTAATATATAACATCAGTATCTAAAACTTGGTTAGCTCAAAACCAGTACTGTTTGAAATTACAATCACAAGCAATATCAAAAAGACATCACAAATTTCTATTGCCTTGCGAGAGAAATCCACTGTATTATTTTGAGTAATCATCGGCAGCCAAATATCCAATATGTTTTTCAACGTTTTGAAATGTGTAATTTTGACAAATCCTTTGATGAAGAAGCCTGAACTTTCAAAAAATCAGGCAGATTGAGTGATTCTGAATTACTCTCATGCCTGAAAAAAAGATGTGATTTTCTTCAATAAGTATGAAAGAATTAATTTCATTTAACTTGAATTCAAAAAGATAAACAGTGTTAATGAAATTTCAAAAAAAAGTACATAATATAATTCAGACAGTAATAATAGTTAGACGTAACATACTATGCATCACATCGGAGAATTGATTCAAAATTAGAGGGAGAAGCAATATTAAGATATTACTTTTACATCGGAATCACTGAATAATAAAAATATATATTAGTTCAGAAAGTAAGATACGAAATATTTGTGAGCTACTCCAAATATATCAAGTTATAATATCAGAAGTTTTCATTTTTAGATTTACGGTAGCAGAAGCATTAATCTTAGATTCATGGTAGCAGAATCATTAACCTTTCTAATATCAAAAATTTCTATAGATATTTTGTTCATGAAATTTTTTATTTTTGTACTCTTTCTTTCAAAAGTTTCAGGAATAAAAATGATTACTTTCCGCTCACATGACTAAACTTATACATACACAGCAGCTGCTTAAAGATACATTACATTCAACTAAATATGATTTTCATTTAAATTCAAATTCTTCAATCTTACATTTTAAATATTGGTGAAATATGTTCATACTTCTCTGCTATAAGCATCACTTGAGCAGTGAATTTAGAATTTACGTTTGGAATAAATGTGAACTCTAAAAATAATTACTGTTCGAATAAAATAAATTGATCTAGTTTCTATTATATTATGGTTCAGACAATTAACTCACTGCATCAAATCTTCGATATCCACGAGCATAGAGTCCTGCTGCATATGTAACGAATCTTTTTCTACTAGCAACCTCATCAGCTCCGCATTTTCTTCTGAAGTATATTAGTTATCATTAATAATATATGTATTATATTCATTTCCTTTATATATAAGAAATGAATATAATCTTCGTCTAAAACTATTAAAATAGATTTTATACATACTACTGGCTAAATTTAACTCTACCAATATACTCAGAAAATAACATTAAAGTAAGCACTATCTTTTTTAATTTATTTCCTTAAGTATTCTACTGCAATTCTATTAGTTTAACAACTTCTACAAGAAGATTACTTACTCACAGTCATTAATGAAGATTTTATGAGCACTTTTAATAATTAACTCTAGAATTGCTATTAATTTTTATATAAAGCAGAAAAAAAGATATAAGACAGAAACATACCATCAATACATTTGATAAGTTGTTCACTCATTTCAATAAGTTGCCGGCGAGTCATTTTAGATAATTGCAGTCTGAAACATAATTTTATTGCTTGCAAATAAACCTAACAGTTTTACTGCATTAAAAAACTTTTTAAAGAATTTCTACAAAAAATTATTTAAAAAAAAGGTGACAGAAATCTCGCTAAGTAAATAATTTAAGAAGTACCTAGAAGTTTTGGGTGGAATCGTGGTAATAAATCGATCCGTATTTAATTTTTCAATTTCCATTTGCATTTTTGCAGCTTGTTTCGCCTTAGCTAGCATCAATTTTGTTTCTTCTTCCAACACTTGTCGCTTTTCTTCTGCAAAATTGCCAATAACATTATAGCTGATACAAGACAGAATAAAACTGAAAAACAAAGTTCATTGCTTCCATTTTGTTTTTTTACATTTGTAGTCTACAATTTGACATTTCTTCAAAATTTTTCTCACCATAAGATAAGATTACTGCTTATTGATTTTAAAAATAGATTACTTTCTTTACTTATCTAGCATTAAATAAAGAATGGGACTATTTCAGTAGTTTGCAGTTGAAAACTGAATTTGTATCTTCATTGCAAACCTTCAGTGCTAATAGTATCCACACTAAATGATCGATGAAGAATAGCAGAGTACTATTAATTTACCAAGAGTTAGGCCTTGCAAGCAATTGCATATAACACTCACAAGAATTTGACATCTTGGTCTTAATCACTTGATTGAAGAAGAATAAATCATATTTAATAATCATCAACATAAACCCAAACTCGAACCCACAACCCATAAACTTTTGCTACATAGCCATACTACCCCACATGCGCTAAACCACTCAATGTCGGTTCTGTACCAACATGACTACTAATCAAATTCTGGAATTCATAAAATGAAGACTACCAAAAAACTAAGATTACCAGATAATGTAAGAAGTTGTTCTCTATATGACAACTCATTTTCAAACAATTTTTTGAAAAATAACAAACGCACAAATAAAAAACAAACTGGTTAAAATATTTGCTACAAGTGTATAAATTATTCACATTTTTAGTAATATTAAATAGGATACATATCATTATTCAGAAGGCTAATACAACTAGCACAAGACCAGAATAACGATAATTTAATGCATAAAGCAAATAATAATACTTTTTTGCATGAGGGGAAATGTACGTTATTGGCCTCGTTTTCCTAACTTCTGAAAAAATACGTTTATGAACAGCGCTATATACTACTATTTACATCAACTACACCTTAATATAACTAATCAAAAATTTTTACTCTGTGATCTTGTCGATATGAATTTGCAACAATTAGTAGGTCACGTAAAAATCAAATTTAAACTTCTTTCTTCTTTCCTCCACCCTTCAACATCACTGTACATCGTTCTTTTTATATGGAATAGTTATTTTATCACGTCATAAATCAAGTAATAGATCAAAACAAGCAATTATAATCAAACTAGTGGAGCGATGACCCGCAAAGCAAGCTTTAATAAACCAAATTCGATATCGTTTTCCATCACAGTTCAAATAAGGCATAAGTTGTTGCTAAATTTGACCTCACCAAATATTTACAAGTAACTATGTAATAACTCTAATTTAAGAAGTAATAAATAAAAATCAAAATGATTTTTTTTCTATCATTTAATTTTTTCAATACATTCAAGTAAAGTAAAGCCATATTCATTTCAGTTATTCATTGCTCTGTGAATGAATAAAAGTTCCGCAGAATACTGGTTTTAAATAAAATACAAAAACGTTTGCAGTTCTTAACTTTCCGCAAAAACTTATACTACAAAAATAAAAGCTGGTTGAAAGCATTTTCAAAAAATAATCTTCGTATAATTTTAAAAAAAAGGCATAGTACCCTTATTTATGACCGAAATAGCTTGACGTAATTGTGAAGCATTCAAATTTGAACCATCAATCACAGAACTGCGTAAGTTTGGAGCTGATTTTGACTTAGGTACAAAGCAATCATCATCAGAGCTTTCTTCTTCCTCTCTTTCATCTTCATCTTTCAAATCACTGATATAACATACCTGATATATATGGCAATAACTTTTCAAAAATTTACATAACTAAAAATTCATACAATCATTTTTTATATTTATCATGAATTAACCAACAAAATATCAAAATTGTATATCTCAAAACAAGATAAATAAATAAATAAAATATTGTTTTCAAATATCTATAATTATTAACAATACTTCAAAAAATTTACTTGTAAATTCATAGCTGTCTGCAAACGAAAACCAAGATTTGACTTTGATGGCCTGGTATAAACCCGTGGAACTGGTCCAGCTGTATATTGATCTACTTGAAGTGCTAAACGTCGACGTACCTATCAAAAATAGAACCAATATTTAACACAAAAATAAAATCACGCCATAATACTCAATATTATTCATAAACAAATGTTACAATTTTTTAATATGAATAATTATGTTCTCGTTTGTTTTTGAATTTTCAAAATCAAAAAATATGTATTTTAATACGTAGCAAACACTCTTTCCTACTTTACTTATTTTATAAGCAAAAATTCATGCTTTTTAACCGAAAAAAAATTCAAACGACTAAATAAAAATCTTTTACTCAATTCTTTTCAAAGCTCAATTTCATAGTAGCAAAACATTTCAAGCTAAGAAACTGCCTAAATAACTTCCTAATGAATTATATTTTTCAGCTTTATGTTATGCATATTCTCAGCTTCATACATGCAAGGAATCAATAAAGAAAAACATTACCAAAAAAGCAAAAAACACTACTTCTAAAAAATAAAAACTTGAAAAAACAAATTTTTTTGACAATTTGCCTTATCTATTGCTTTTTTCAGTTCTTTCATATCATGTCCATAAATTCTATTTTCCTTACTTTTTTAACCATATTTTCAGTACCATATTTTTCTATATACTACAGATAGATATAAATATTGTTATCCAATAACTACACTAGCTTAAAATCACAATGAAATAAATCAAATTATTAAAATTTTTATTTACATCTATACTATCTCACATTATCAATATATCATTAACTACTTTTAAGGAATGAATTTTATCATTACAAATCACTTTTACTGATCTATGAACGCCCATTTTTTCGATGCCAAATCATTTCTTATATCTACCAAACTTCCAGTTTTATTAACTTATTAATCAGAGCCAAATAAGTTATGCTCAGAACTTAATACTTATATCCTAAATCATTTCAATACAATTTCTTAGCAATCTATTATTATTCATAATTATTATTACTAGTATTGTTATTGCTATAGTTGAATTTCATCAATTAGTATATAATTCACAAAACTAATAAAATAATTAAAAATGTGTACCTGTTCACCAAGTAGTTTTCTTTCCGTTACTAATCTTTCTTCTGCTGCACAATTCAACTTTTCTTCTAATTTGTTAAAATCCAATTGTGGTAAACATGTATCCAAATTATCCAATTCTTTATCGATATATTCTCGTAATGATGCTTTATCTCGTTTCTCACTAGTAGTGTTCATGTAACAATTTGCAGATTTTGAAGTTGACGGTGTACCATGACGTTTTGGCCATGATTCGATTAACTTTGCATCATACAAATTTAATTTTGCATTTAGAGAAGTTTCATTTTCTTTAATCCTTAAACTATCAAAAGTATTATGCTGACAATTTGCTAGATTTATTTCTACATTCATATTTTGTAATGGAGAATTTCTTATTACAGCAAAACTATCAACAGATAATTGATCTGAATTGTTATATTCAGAAGCATATTGTTTTGAATAATCCAATACTGGTTCCAATAACTGCACAGTTTCTTCTGAATTTTTCACATTTGATGTAATATTCAAATCTTGACATGATAACTGTGATGCATCTTCAGTAGTCAATTTAGAAGTTGCACTTGACAATTCAAAAGAATCTTCAGAGCATGATGTAGACAATGCCTGATTGCTATCTAGAATAGGCGATGAAATAGATTCCAAACTTGAGCTGTTACTTTGTTGATCCAAAGATGTTGTTGAACTTACATTTCTAACATGTTGTGCTTCCACTAAATTATTTAACAGTAATTTAGCGCATAAATTATTCAAAGATTCTGCTACATCTGTTACAATATCATCAGAAGTCTGCAACATTGAAAAGAACTTCCGTTCGATTATTACAACAAAATTGCACTTATATTTGAAATGCAATCAAAAAAAAACAAAATACTTTGATACTTAAAGTTGTTTTAAAATGATATTCTTAATCATCAAATCTATGATGAAAAATTTTTAAACAACATAACTTTTTTTTTTCAGCAAATAATACCAGTTTATTATGAATCAGAAAACTTCAATGTAATAACAGACGCATGTACGTAATGAATATTCGCTTCATTCAAATACAAATTCATTATTATTCAGCAATGCAGCCTAATTAATTCGAATTTGTTCAAGGTTTATCCACATATCCTAATAAAACAGCATCAGCAGTTAGCCATGTTTTTAATCCAGTAGAGGAGATAATTGTTGATATTAATCTGTAATTACCTTATAAATAACAGATACCTAAATATGAACATAGTTATAAAAAATACAGATAACACAAATAATAAAAATAAACGCTAAAACATGATGGCATGCCATTTTTTCAAAAATACAAAATGGTATTTTTGAATAATATATATACTTAATCCCTGAACTCTAATATCATGTTCAATCTATTCCGATGAAATACCCAGTGAATTATTGAATTTCAATAAATTTTCAATGCCAATTTTAACATTTTAAAATTGAAAAAGAAATAATTTAACAAGATTTTTCATTTGATATACACTTTTGAAAAAATGAAATAGATTACATTTTGAAAAAGTAAAAATATACAAAAACTTGACTAAAAAATTCTAAAAATGCAAAAGAATAAAAATCTAAAATTGACTTCCATCATTTATATTTAAACCAGAAATGCCAAATGTGCATATTTAACAGATATAGCAAGCTAACCATATTATGGTATTGAACAAAATGAAACTATATACATCTATGTATTTTTTTTTAATTCAAATAATAAATAAATATATATAT